GTCATCGCTGTGAGTTACAACCTTGAAACTGGCAGTGTAAAGTTCCACAAAAGCGCGAGCAAGTTCCAAATCGATAAAATCGTTCCGTAGGATGATGCAGTCTCGGCGAAGTTATTCATAGCAGCTGCAGAAGATGTTTTCAAAACACTACTTTGGCAAAATCACTAGCTGAATATAATTAGGAACTGCTTAAGCCACCTGCGGTTCTTCTGATCCTCCTACAGTCTCCAGAGGAACTAAGAGGAGGAAACCAATAACTGAACAACGCCAGTATAAAAATAGGATTGAGAATGGATGTGATAAAGTCTCAGGTCATATTTAATAAATACGGAACCTTGCGAGCTGTTGAAGCCGAAGCGAACGGATGTAGGATTGAAAAAAGGCATAACTACTTCTCTCTGTCAGAACTCATTTTGCAACGGAAAGAAGACTCTATTAATTCAACAAAAAAAAATAAAAATTGCGTGGAACAATTTTGGAAGACTAAAGATGTTTTCATACAAGCAACTGTTTTTGTATTTGAAAAGAAAAGTATCCGATCGATGTGTGCTAATCTATAAATGCTAAACGTAGACTCTAAGCCTGAAAGCAATTCATAGATTGCACACTACACAACACAGCATGGGAAAAATCTATATTTGGAATAACAAGAGAAGATAGAGAGACGAATGAGTGGGTAGGAGCATAAACAAGAGTCTCGATGTCATTGCCCGAATGAATAAGTTAAAATGGCAATTGCAAGAGTAAGCGGTGCTGAAGTGCAATCCCCACGAATATCCCTCTGCGCCACTGCTCCCCCTTCTGATCCCATTTCTAGAATATTGTCAAGCTATACGCGAAATGCAATTTTGTCATTGTCTTCTTAATCATTCCCATCATTATATGTAAATAAATTCGATTTAATGATCCTTAATCGGTGACTGTCATTTTATAATTTTTTTTAGCGTACGTTTTGAATAGTTTTAATCATGCTTTGTGACAAGAAGCGTATTGCCTAAAGCTTCGTGAAATGTGCATAGTTATTTTCCTCCGTCCTTTAAAAAACTTCGAGCCCATAAGCGACACTTTTTGAATTTCAAAATGTTCATGAACATTCACAATTTTTCTACTGTCATACTGGAGCTGTTGAACTAAATTTAACTTTGCTGCCTATCAGAAATTGCGGGACATTGCTTCCACATCATCGATCAAAGTATTACAGTAAAACGAGCATTTTCAGGCAACCTGTTAGAAGAGCATGAATCTCTGCAATGCTCACCGTAACGTTCTATTTTCCTTGCGAAGCGCTGAAACATGATCATTAAAGCTGACTTAAACATGACTGTATTTATTCGTGGTTCGAGAATGCTCACACAAAAGCACAATATCTAGATTCTTTTCTTTCATATGTGACTGTCATCCATAGCTCGGTTGCATCATTTATTTATTTGTAACGTTGTTCACATTGTCATTTGTTTGTTTTTGTTACTGTTGTTTATTTCTTGTTTAACTAGCGCATTTTTCTCTTTTATCTGTGCCGCGAAGTGGCTTTCTTTTGTTGATTTGTTCAGGCAGTAAATTTTCAGCTTTAGTAAACATAGTTTCTCCATCATTCTATTCATCTACCCATTTTCACAGCCGCCTGTTCGTTTCAGGTTGTAGGACAGCAATTTCAGATAGGTTTCTCACAACGTCCCAATATTCCGCTGTTACTGCAAACACCATAAATTGGGTCCAAAGTGGACGATGCCGGTTGCTTAATATACCAGAGCCATGTTGTCCGCATTTTATACCTTACCTATCTGTTCTTATGACTTTGCCTGTTTACCTCCCTTGTGGCATTGTCAGTTTCGCATCAGACTTCGTGAGCATTCATCAGACAAAATTAATCATGCCTTCCTTAGAAATAAATATCACGAAAACTTGATTTTATTCAAATTTTAATTTCTTGTCTTCACGTTTGATTAAAAAGTGGTTGAAATTTGCCTCCGTAACTCCAACCTTGACTTCAGTATCATAATGAATGAGCAGCAACCAAACCAACTGATTGCACACATGGCAAATCAGGATGGCGGGTGCTGTGGTTTGGTGCAACATCGAAATTAAATTATAAACGCCTCATTTAATCAATATGCTCGCGTGCGTTGTCCAGGCTTATGTTTAGATAGTAATGGCAACTGCAATAACGGCGATATTTGATGTATACCTCCATGCGCCGCTATGGTAGCATTGAAGAACGTGCCATGAGTTCCGTAGCTGTCGGATGACCAGTCAATGATATTCAAGAACTGAGAGCTGCATTGTTACCTTCAGAACAAAGCAGAGAGAAAATTCGATTAAATCCCAAAAATATCGACGGCTATGGCTGTCGTCTAAATCGATCTCTGGCTAATGCACGGCGAAATCCTTTTCTATAAGACTATCTAAATGCTAAACAGAGCGTAATGGCTAGATCATGAAAGGCTCAAGCGATATTGGATGGTAGAACCAGGTGACGGAAAAGAATAGAACGCAATTTATGCTATTTGCATAATCAGAACAAAAAGTATGGATAAAATATATTGCACGAAACTACTTATTATGTCTTTGAACAGAGAATAATATTTTTATTGCATACGACGTTGCATCTAAAATAGATGTCCAAAATTTTTCTGGTGATATTCCACATTATTGTTTAAATCTTACTGGCATCATTATGTATGAAGACCTCAAAAGCTGACCATAAAATGCCATTCGAACATTTTCCTATGTTTGCTAATTTTACAGGGCAGACCGCATGCTGAAAAGATGCCTCCACGCCTTCTTTAATGACTAAGATACATGAGTATCCAGAACCTTCTTATGAGGTTGGCAGTTTATACGTTCTTCCCAAACAGATGTGCTTTGGTGGTACGTGGGAATTTATCATCTTATTTTTAGCACAGCAGATAGCTTTGTCAGCTGTAGATCTGTTGTTTATGTTTATGAGACGCATTCATTGCATTTATCTTAGCAGCTAAAGGCAATGAGGAACGGGCTCCACAATCGGTTGATCATGGCGTTGCCAGCCCTTCGAGACCTCACTGATTTTATGATTTTATGGGAAGCGAAATTTACTATATGCTACATGTAAATCAGTAGAACAACTGCTACTAGACTTGGCTCTTAACTCATCTCGTAGTAAAAATGAAACAAGCGAAACTTTAACAATTAAAAATGACCGTATAAAGTTAATATTATTTGAAAAGGTAACAAATTCCAAAGGTTAATGCAAATGAGTTCGAACAGGGTTGTCAGGCCATAATATAGCAGCCCTTCGAGCGATGCGATTCTGCTACGGTGAGGGTCCATTCCGTCAGCAGCTTGAGGATTTGTCGATTTATGAAATGCGCCAATGCCCGATCATACAAATTTTCCTCCACTGTCGATTACACAGATTTGACATGAGACAGATTCGCATGACAAAAGATGTCACGATCACAAGGGCTTTCATACGTGCACTTTTCGAAGGT